TCTCTCTCTCATTAATGATGCTTTATCAGCACGCCTGCCAAAATACAATGTTGCCAAAGCAGTACAGAGGATAATTAATCTGCAGAATTGGATGATATGGCAGAAGTGTGTACTTGTTAATCACCACAAAGTAGTGTTGTCAAAAGTACCAATGTCGGTACCAGTTGGTACTGAAATTCAGTGGTGGACAGTAACGGAGTAGCTTTACTTCGTTACTGTACTTAAGTACATTTTTCAAGTATATGTACTTTACTGGAGTCGTTTTATTTTGAGTAACTTTTACTTTTACTTCACTACATTCCAAAGCATAAGATTGTACTTTTTGGCCAGGGGTGTTTTTACACCACAGACAAGCTTTGAGAAGAAAAAAATCATTATGAAAATATAATTATATTTTCCTTAAAATGTTCTTCCTAACTTCAGGCCTTATTCTTATGTCATATATAACTGTGATGTTCTGCAAAACAACAAGTTTAAAACACTTTTTCTTACTGGTGAAAATCAGATGGTCAAATCTGTTTTCTCTCAGGTACTTTGCAGTGTAAGCTTCACAGTGAACATTACTACATCACTCTCGTCAACGTAGTCCATATCAACAACAAAAATATATCTTGACTCCATATAGTGGTTCTTTTGGGAAAATCCCAGGTATTTTGAGCAGTAGAATTATAAAAAAGATGTGCTAATATAAAGTTAAATTAAGTAGCCTATATAAAATTGCTAAATAAATCTATCTGTCAGTACTTTTTTACTTAAGTACTTATAAAAATCGAGTACTTTTGTACTTTCACTCGAGTAAAATTGAAAAAGGAGTACTTTTACTGGAGTAATATTTTATTATACGTATCTGTACTTTTACTCAAGTACTTGATTTGTGTACTTTGTCCACCACTGTTAATCACCATGATCAGTCAGTATAACATGTAAATGTGTGTTTGTGTCATATTTGAAGTACTGACAGGCTTGCAGTTGGAAATGTTGAAAGGAGGGCACTGGACTGTGTATTTGTTGGTGATGAACTGTCCATTGACTTTAATGCACGTGATTCTGTCACAGCCCTGATTTGCAGTGTGCAAAGTCTTTCCTTCCTATGAACCAAAAGAAAATAAGGTCAAATTCATTGCAAAAATGTTAGATTTGTTAGGAGGAATGAGATTGTCAAGGAATAATGGCTTAAATTTGGGTCTGTTCCTCACTCAAATTTAAAAGACGTTACTGCAGTACTAGTACTTTAATAATGCTTTTCTGTCCCTGATGATGACAATCCACTTCTGTTGTATGAAAAAAAGCAACATGAACTGTTTCATTTTGTGTTCAAAGAAAGAAAACAATATTGGTTTTAACATATGAGGGTATGTAAAGTGCATTTTTTTTACATTTATAATTAATTTACATTTTGAACATTTATTCCTTTAAGTTCCATTTAACCTAAATATATTCCATACCTCAAGGCGACTGAACCTTTGACATCTGACTTTACCTTCAGTATTTTATCGACGCCATTGTTATTGACGATGCAGTGAGTTTGCACACACTTTCCACAGCAGTCGTCAAAGGTCGTTTTAACATATCCATAACCCTGTGAAAAATAAACATCAAATGAAGTCAATGAAATTACACTCAGTCCTGAGAAAAGCTGATCAGAAGCTTGTCACGCAACTTACAGGATCACATTTCTCATTGCACTGCACAGATCCACATTTGATATTGAACAACTGCGTTTTAGGATCCACGTCCCATGTACAGCTGCATTCCCGACAGTCAACGACGGGGATGTTGGTACCAGGCTGGGGGAAGTGATGGGAGAGATGAGCATGTAAAACTTTCATTAATTAGTACTTAAAATAAAAAACTCAGAAATGTTTGATTTTTAAAAAAAATAGTAATATTCGAGTCATTCTAGTTACCTTATATTCCATATTTTTGTGAACGCACACTTTCTTTGGCTCTGAGGAGGCAAACAACAAAATACAAAACTATACTGAATGATATTAAAGGGATACAGACACCATCTGAGATAAAAAAATAAAATAAAAATAAAATAAGCATACAAAAATGAACTGATGTGTGAATAATAGCAATACCGCATTTGATTTCTGGACAGCATTTTCCATCAGGGACTTCCAGGACTGGCGTATATCCGACTGCACACTTTTTATCCATAGGTGGGCACATGCTGACATCACAGTCTACATCACACAAAGGAGACTTAATAAAAGGAAGATGTGAACCTATCCCCCTCCCCCAAAAAAACCTCTTGAAAAAACTGTACATAAACTTACTGCAAACTTGTTTACTGCAGCATGGGTCTGAAGGATTGGTGACGTTGACCAGCACAAAGCCGGGCTCAGTGCAGATCTCAGGGTTGACATCGGGACACGTTTTGGGTTTACAGGTCACTGATTTGCTGGCCTTATCACAGATACACTCCTCACAGTTGTACTCGAAAACCTCAGCGAACTGCCGCAAAATATCAAGAGAATTTAGTTAAAAGTCTATTTCGGTCATTATTTAGCTTCAACCATTATTTAGCATTATTCAGTTAATTCTTTAAATTCAGCATATAATGAAAATTCACTCTATTGATTTTGTAAATTCGTGCTACAGGTTATAGTGTGAAGCAAATATAAATAGCACTACTCCTATGTGACCGTGGACCACAAAACCAGTCATAAGTGTCAATTTTTCAAAATTGAGATTTGTACATCATCTGAAAGCTGAATAAATACGTTTTCCATCGATGTATGGTTTGTTAGGATAGGACAATATTTGGCCGAGATACAACTATTTGAAAATCTGGAATCTGAGGGTGCAAAAAAATCAAAATATTGAAAAAATCGCCTTGAAGTTCTTAGCAATGCATATTACTAATCAAAAATTAAGTTTTAATATATTTATGGTAGGAAATGTACAAAATATCTTAATGGAACATAATCTTTACTTAATATCCTAATGATTTTTGGCATAAAAGAAAAATCGATAATTTTGACCCATACAATGTATTTTTGGCTATTGCTACAAATATACCTGTGCAACTTAAGACTGGTTTTGTGGTCCAGGGTCACATATGAGTTTATATGAGCTAGGCTTAAGTATGTTGCTAATCCAAAATTTAACTCTGGTAAGCATAAAAATGCATAGTATTTTCATGCCAATATTCGTGTGTGCTAACTATTTTATTGATACATTTTGGTACTGAATGATTTATGAGGATGAATTCTAATTATTCACATTTTTCTCATGTCATCTGCCATCTTGGATGTTTTTTGTAAGTGAGCTTGCCACAGTGTATTGCTTAATGGCCTTTAAGTTTAAGAACTATGAAATGAAATTCTAGTATTGTGTAAACCGCTAAATTAAAACTGTTAAACCCCGCCGTACCTCCCGTGGTGTTCTAGAGGCATCCAGGCATCCTAAAAACAAAAAGAGAAGAACAACATAAGACCGATATGTTCTTGAAAAGCAGCTAAGGTATGCAGGATGATGCAGAAAGGCACACTTTGTTTTACTTCTCTATCTGAATGCCTTATGCATGCACAGAAACTTGAGTCAAAGGCTTCTCACCACATTTGTTCACACAAACGTCTGTATTCTTGTTGAAGAGTAATGTGCCCTCAGAACAGAAGCAGCCCTCTGTGGGCATTGTAATGGTGTTCTGTTCAGGTCTGCAATTAAAAAAGTATTTAAACTTTTTTTTATTACACACATATCATCTAAGATTCATTCCAATAAACATCTGCATAACAAGTTTTATTAACTCTTAAACTGCATAATAAGAGTGTTTTTTTTTCAAGTACATGTCTGTCATATTCCAGTCCCTCAATTTACAATACTAAAACCGTAAACTTTCATATCCACAAATGTCTTAAGTATTTAAAAATTTGGATAAATGGGCATACATATCAGCACAGGTTGGTGGCTCAGCTGGACCACAAGGATTGAAAACTTTATCTGCTGGACATTCAATATCTGGTGGAAGAAAAGACAACATAAAACACTTAAATAATCTCAATAGCTTCCAAAAGTCTGGGAGATCAAAAATCTCACATAAAAAAGGAATTTAAAGCCAGAAAGGTACAACAGAAATGTAAGCAATTTGGAGAAACCTAAAGAAAGAGTGATATAAAATTAATAAAATGCAACTTACTGCAAAGGTAAGTGTAGTTCCTCCAGTGTATGCAGATCCCTAATTGAGAGCAAGCCCTTGCGTATGTCTGAAGACTGGTACACACCACAGCAGGGTTACTCATATGACAACTGTCATATTCACATGCTAAAAAGAAGTTTTTGGGGGATATATGGGAATGGCACGCTTTGAACAACCTGAGAAAGGCAGAAGTAGTAAATATCACTTCGGAAGCTCCATATATTGAAATTTATAATAAAAACATAACACCGAATCCACTCACTCGCTATCAAGGAGGTTGCAGTCAGGATGAGCCTGGCAAGGCTTAGATGTAAGTTTTTTATTATCCCAGACAGAAAGTAATGCAGTTGGTGGAGTGCAAATTTCATCATTCGCCCCAATGGCTGGCCAGTAATCCGCCATCACTGCACAGTCGTCCACCAAGATCCCTCCAGGGATCATGCAGTCATCAGCCTTGTTGTTGTTGCATGTTCCTTAGTGAGAATTATTTGGAATAATTTAGATGGACAATGAATAAAAAAATCCCTCGTATACCATCCACCAGTGGTGGGCTGTCAGGGCCAGCAAAGCCTCCTCTGCTGGCCTAAACACTATCAGAATCACTGACATAGTTTTAAAATATTTCTCCAATAAATGTGTATTTCATTTTTTCCAATAGTCTATTCTCTTTATTTCATAGCGTTTCTCTTGGTTGCGCTGCTTGCAGTAGTGTATTTTTATATTAGAGCTTTTGTCCTATCATATTTAAGCAATCGTGTTGCCAGGGTCAAAGAAATCTGCCTTAAGGCCTTCAGAATCAACAGTGCTAGCGTCTGTAGTTTAAAATAAAAGGCAAGGAAACCGTTGCTTTAACCAATCAGATTTCGAGTTGGCGACACCGGGGCCATCTAGCAGGCGTACAATAACATCAGCACTTTCACATCCTTTGATTGGATGGTCAGGGAGCATACTAGTAGTCAGAGCTAGAAAGAAGAAAACCACGAGAGTACGGTAGGTTCATTTTCATTTTTTGACTTTTCGCTTTATGCGTTTTATTCTGATGTTATTTGCAAGACATAAAGCTACGTTTAATTTTCTGTAAGCATATCTCATATCGCTCAGTTTCCGAGTCAAACTGTATTAACCAGCCTTTTCCTCCCGGCCGCAGCAGCTAGGATACGTTAAAACACATGTATACACTTGTTTCATCGTCTTGTATAAATTATTTTAATGTTACTTGCTCACTTTCCCAGTAAAGCTGTGCTAACTAGTATTTTCCTCCCGCAGCGTGCTGGCAGACCGGTGGGGAGACTCGTGAAGACGAAAAGCCATACGAGTACGTTAAATTGTTAGGTCAACTTTAAAACATATGTAAAATCACATAATTTGTTTTTTACCAATGTTATTTGCAAGGTATAAATACGTTTAACTGAATAAATGTCTGTAAGAACATCGGGTGGACTGTATTTTTGTAATTTTATTAGGGTAATGCTTCAGCTAGAGATGATGTACGTTGCGCAGCTGTGGCAACTTATTTGGGTTTCTTGCTTTAGTAATTGCATCCATTCTCATTACATGAGACAATTGTCTGTGATGCAATGCCCTGTTATACTGCATTTCTGTATAATATTTAAGGTTTCTATAAAAATCATGACATGCATGGCCCGCCACTGCCATCCACATTGGGGGGTGGCTGACTTACCACAATGACCTTGTGTGTTGTTTCCAAAATGCTCAAATGGCAAATTGATGCCAAAGCCAGTAGCTCCAAATGTTATATTAACACCCAGCTGTGGAATACTCAGGATCAAGTCTAGGCCTGAGCTTATAACTCTCACATCATTACGAGCATATGGCAGCCGTAACTTTATATTGTTCTCAAAAGCCTGTTATGACAGGAGACAATGACAAGAAAATGTTAGGGTACTTAGTAATGCAGACAAAGCATGTTATTCATTCCAAATCTAGAAAGTCTCACCTTTAGGTCTCCTATGAGATTGTTATTCGTAAGATTTATGACTAGTTTGTTGTAAGACACAATAATAGATCTGGGACAGGATACATGCTCAACAGGGTCACAGTAGACACTGTCGATGTAGATCTCCAAATGGTATCGAGGCCTAATTTCCTTCATTAATATATAAGTGCAGTTTCCTTGATAACTGTAGAATTGTCCATCAAATGTGACATAATGTGGGTCACCCCAGCCTTCACAAAAGCCTAGAATAGGATAGTGTGAAAAATAAGACAAAAACAGCATTCAATAATTTGAACTGAACAAGCTACTTGAATTTAGCAAACACTAAGGGCCAGATTTACTAACAGCTTGTGCCAGCGCAAACCTTCTTTTTGCATTAAAAAAAAAACTACTGTCAGGATTTACTAAAGGCATGCAGTGAAAAATAAGCAATGAAAGGTGTGGACAGTAATTTTTGTGGCTGATCTTATTGCATATGCATTTGTAGAAGTTTCAGATGCGAAATTCAAGGGAGAAGAATATTTCAATGAATCATGCGTGATTTAGGGCATCAGGGCTGGAGTGGGAGTCATTTTCAGCCCTGGAGTTTCATGCCTTAGAGCGGCCCACTTTAGTTCATGACTGACTATAGTTATTACAATAATGTAATTAAAACTTCAGTATATAAGTCTGCAATAGCGCACTGTTCTCTGCAGACTTGTAATTCATTATATTTTTCTACAGCTTTGTTTTTTTTTTTTTTACTGGCCTTTTCAGCGCCGCCTTTGCGCTTTCTATTATACATTTTTTAATCTATTCTTTTTTGCTCGCATATCTCCAACAAAATATTTCATAATAGGTCATTATGGAAATGAGCTGGCTGCATCTGTGTTCTTTAATCTGGCATTGTCAGTAGATGACAGTCAGTAAATGATTACAGAATTAAATGTAAAGATTGCAAAGACCAGTTTACTCACAGTCACATGCATAATATTGGCAGCAGTGGTGTTCATCATAGACAAGCACTGGTTTTCTTCCATTTTCACAGGTGATGTACTGCAGTGGAGGGCATTCAAATGGGATAATTTCAATGATGTTGTCTTGTATGCACCTCGCCATGGTGCAGTTACACAAGAAGAAGGTCTCGTTGGTCTAGTGATAATGAAAAGTGAGACAGAATTAGAAAGACTGATAAATGCAAAATTGCAATGTAGACAATGTTGATTTAAGTAGAATATTTAAATGTCACCATAGATAGTCATAAAAATACATTCCCCATGTAGAAAGAATAACAACACCTTTATTTTGTCAATTAAAAGAAAGTATATTAAACTATACGTTTTTGTTCCATTCAGGACAGTAGTACGGCGGCGTTTTTGTAGGAGTAGATGCAGGAGTAGGAGTAGGTGATGTGGTTGATTCTGTTGTTGATGTAGTAGGCTTTGTGGTAGGTGTTGGTGTAGGGGAAGATGATGTGGTAGGTGTTGGTGTTGTAGAAGGTTTTGTGGTAGTTGTTGTTATAGGGGTGGGTGATGTGGTTGATTTTGTTGTAGTAGGCTTTGTTGTTGTTGTCGGTATAGGGGTAGGTGATGGGGTTGCTTCTGTTGTTGTAATAGGCTTTGTGGCAGTTGTAGGGGTAGATGATGTGATTAATTCTGTTGTTGCAGTAGGCTTTGTGGTAGTTGTTGGTGTAGGGGTAGATGATGTGGTAGGTTCTGGTGTTGTTGGTGTTGTTGTAGTAGGCTTTGTGGTACTTGTCGGTATAGGGGAAGGTGATGGGGTTGCTTCTGTTGTTGTAGGCATTGTGGTAGTTGTCGGTATAGGAGTAGATGATGTGGTAGATTTTGGTGTTGTTGCTGTTGTTGTAGTAGTAGATTTCATGGTAGTTGTTGGTATAGAAGTAGGTGATGTGGTTGATTCTGTTGTTGTAGTAGGCTTTGTGGTAGTTGTCGGTGCAGGGGTAGATGATGTGGTAGGTCCTGTTGTTGTGGTAGGCTTCATGGTAGTTGCCGTAGGGGTAAATGATGTGGTAGATCCTGTTGTTGTAGTAAGCTTTGTAGTAGTTGTCGGTGTAGGGGTAGATGATGCGAAATTCAAGGGAGAAGAATATTTCAATGAATCATGCGTGATTTAGGGCATCAGGGCTGGAGTGGGAGTCATTTTCAGCCCTGGAGTTTCATGCCTTAGAGCGGCCCACTTTAGTTCATGACTGACTATAGTTATTACAATAATGTAATTAAAACTTCAGTATATAAGTCTGCAATAGCGCACTGTTCTCTGCAGACTTGTAATTCATTATATTTTTCTACAGCTTTGTTTTTTTTTTTTTTACTGGCCTTTTCAGCGCCGCCTTTGCGCTTTCTATTATACATTTTTTAATCTATTCTTTTTTGCTCGCATATCTCCAACAAAATATTTCATAATAGGTCATTATGGAAATGAGCTGGCTGCATCTGTGTTCTTTAATCTGGCATTGTCAGTAGATGACAGTCAGTAAATGATTACAGAATTAAATGTAAAGATTGCAAAGACCAGTTTACTCACAGTCACATGCATAATATTGGCAGCAGTGGTGTTCATCATAGACAAGCACTGGTTTTCTTCCATTTTCACAGGTGATGTACTGCAGTGGAGGGCATTCAAATGGGATAATTTCAATGATGTTGTCTTGTATGCACCTCGCCATGGTGCAGTTACACAAGAAGAAGGTCTCGTTGGTCTAGTGATAATGAAAAGTGAGACAGAATTAGAAAGACTGATAAATGCAAAATTGCAATGTAGACAATGTTGATTTAAGTAGAATATTTAAATGTCACCATAGATAGTCATAAAAATACATTCCCCATGTAGAAAGAATAACAACACCTTTATTTTGTCAATTAAAAGAAAGTATATTAAACTATACGTTTTTGTTCCATTCAGGACAGTAGTACGGCGGCGTTTTTGTAGGAGTAGATGCAGGAGTAGGAGTAGGTGATGTGGTTGATTCTGTTGTTGATGTAGTAGGCTTTGTGGTAGGTGTTGGTGTAGGGGAAGATGATGTGGTAGGTGTTGGTGTTGTAGAAGGTTTTGTGGTAGTTGTTGTGGGTGATGTGGTTGATGTGGTTGATTTTGTTGTAGTAGGCTTTGTTGTTGTTGTCGGTATAGGGGTAGGTGATTCTGTTGTTGCTGTTGTTGTAATAGGCTTTGTGGCAGTTGTAGGGGTAGATGATGTGATTAATTCTGTTGTTGCAGTAGGCTTTGTGGTAGTTGTTGGTGTAGGGGTAGATGATGTGGTAGGTTCTGGTGTTGTTGGTGTTGTTGTAGTAGGCTTTGTGGTACTTGTCGGTATAGGGGAAGGTGATGGGGTTGCTTCTGTTGTTGTGTGGTAGGTGGTAGTTGTCGGTATAGGAGTAGATGATGTGGTAGATTTTGGTGTTGTTGCTGTTGTTTAGATTTCATATTTCATGGTAGTTGTTGGTATAGAAGTAGGTGATGTGGTTGATTCTGTTGTTGTAGTAGGCTTTGTGGTAGTTGTCGGTGCAGGGGTAGATGATGTGGTAGGTCCTGTTGTTGTGGTAGGCTTCATGGTAGTTGCCGTAGGGGTAAATGATGTGGTAGTTGCCGGTGTAGGGGTGGATGATGTGGTTGATGCTGTTGTTGTAGTAGGCTTCGTAGTAGGCTTCGTGGTAGTTGTCGGTGTGGGGGTGGATGATCTGGTAGGTCCTGTTGTTGTAATAGGCTTTGTGGTCGTTGCCGGTGTAGGGGTGGATGATGTGGTTGATGCTGTTGTCGTAGTAGGCTTTGTGGTAGTTTTTGGTGTAGGGGTAGATGATGTGGTGGATTCTGTTGTTGTAGTAGGCTTTGTGGTAGTTGTTGGTATAGGGGTAGGTGATGTTGTTGATTTTGTTGTAGTAGGTTTTGTGGTAGTTGTTGGTGTAGGGGTAGATGATGTGCTAGGTTCTGGTGTTGTTGCTGTTGTTGTAGTAGTAGGCTTCATGGTTGTTGGTGTAGGGGTAGGGGATGTGGTTGATTCTGTTGTTGTAGTAGGCTTTGTGGTAGTTGGTGTAGGGGAAGGTGATGTGGTAGATTCTGTTGATGTAATAGGCATCAAAGTAGTTGTTACTCTTGTTGTATTATAAACTTGTTCTTGTGTTGAATGAGTTGTTTTTCTTGTTTCTTCAGTAGAAGGAATTATTAATTCAGTCGTTGGTCCAGACTGAGTTGGGGCAGATGATGTGGTTGGTTCTGGTGTTGTAGTAGGTTTCATGGTAGATGTTGGTATAGAAGTAGGTGATGTGGTTGATGCTGTTGTTGTAGTAAGCTTTGTAGTAGTTGTCGGTGTAGGGGTAGATGATGTGGTAGATCCTGTTGTTGTAGTAGGCTTCGTGGTGGTTGCCGGTGTAGGGGTAGATGATGTGGTTGATGCTGTTGTTGTAGTAGGCTTCGTAGTAGGCTTCATGGTAGTTGTCGGTGTGGGGGTGGATGATGTGGTAGGTCCTGTTGTTGTAATAGGCTTTGTGGTCGTTGCCGGTGTAGGGGTGGATGATGTGGTCGATGCTGTTGTTGTAGGCTTTGTGGTAGTTTTTGGTGTAGGGGTAGATGATGTGGTGGATTCTGTTGTTGTAGTAGGCTTTGTGGTAGTTGTCGGTG